TCATTTTATTTCTCTTCAAAATCTCTGTATATTGCTTTGTGCATCTTAATGAATAGCTGGTTATACTGAGCATCACTCAATTTAGTGACAGCTGCTTTTATGCTTTTACTTTCAGTAAGCAAAGTTGATTGGAGGAAAACAAGCGCGATATTTTTACAAAGAAGACGATTACACATATAACATATACATGCATACATACATTTATTATGAAAATGCAACGTATTTATGTATATGTATATAGATATTTATCTATTATATTTTTATTTGTTATATATTTATATAGCATATAAAAAATTTTAAATATTTTATCTCTTTTCCTAAAATTATTGATAACTAAAATCGGCTCTCTCTACTCGTATACAATATTTGTAGCTTTATCAGCCTAATCACATAAATATCTAAAAATATTTGATAGTCATCGATCAAATTTAGTTTCAACTCGCCAGGTAAAACCGTTAAGACTTTTAGTTATCAACGAAAAAACAAAGTATTTACAAGCGCTTAAGTGTAAGAGACATTTTCTGAATTTAAAATTTGAAAAATATGCACTAACTAATTTTTGAATTGTTCAAAATGAAATTATTGCCTGAAAAATTGTTTAGTAATTAATTAATTAATTGATTTGAATTGTTTTAGTTGAAATGGAAAAAGCGTTGCAAACCTCGTTTAAAAGCCAATGAAGTTGTCCGTCACGTATCGGTGAAAAAATTGATTTGGAAAATTGAAAGGAAAATAAAAGGAAAAAAGAAATTATAAAACAGATTTTCTGCCATGAAGTTTCTAATAATCCACTAAATCCATTTTCTCATCTGTGAGCAGTTGCTTAATATTGTGGCTGAAAGAAAATTGAAATTTTCAAAAGCGAGTGAACAAGTTAGATCCAGTTGAGCAATGCAGACAATACTGAACAATGCTTTTTCAATGGTTTCTTTCGATGTAAAGAATTTAAAATGAGAGAATTAAAAAAAGAGATTTCAGCTAAATCATCTGAATAAATCGGTTGTATACGAACTACTAGACTTACTAGTATATAAGTGTGGAGAATACCAAATTTCCTGCTTTTAGACGCTTTTTTTTCGAACTTTTGACCAAAAGCCTCACATCTGAACGAATCGGTGGTGGTCCGATACGTCCGGTTACGTCAAATTTTCTTCGACCAAGGCGAAAAAGCAGCCAAATCGGCTGAAGAAATTAAATTGCGACAAAATCATGGAAATAGTGGAAACAGACCGTCTCGGGAGCAGTTATTTTACTGCTGAAGAATTAGAGGTACGCCAGAAAACTGTTTGGAGCCATTTAAATAACCTTGGATTCAAAAAAAAGCTCGATGTTTGGGTGCCGCACGAACTAACGCAAAAAAACATGAAGGACCGAATTTCCATCTCCGAATCGCTGATGAATCGCAACAAAATCGATCCGAAGAATTTGTCACTTACGACAACATCGAGCGCAAACGGTCGTGTTCAAAGCTCGAGGAAGCGGCCCAGACGGTAGCCAAAACCGGATTGACGACCAGGAAGGTTTCGCTGTGTGTTTGGTGGAATTGGCAATTGGCAAGCAATCATCTACCACGAGCTGTTCCCCTATGGCCAAAGGCTCAATTTGGCCCTTTACTGACAACAAATGGACCGCTTGAAGGCAGCACTCATCCAGAAGAGGCCACCTTTGATCAATAGAGACCGAATTGTGTTCCATCAGGGCAACGCCAGGCCACACACGTCTTTGGTGATGCGCCAGAAACTCCAGTAGCTCGGATGGGAGGTCCTAATGCTCCCATCTTTTAGACCAGACCTGACACCAAGTGTTTACCATCTTCTCTTGTCCATGGCAAACGGTCGTATTGGTGAGAAGCTGTCCTCAAGAGATGCCTGTGAAAATTGGCTCCCCGAGTTGCTTGCCAATATTGACGCAGCCTTCTACGAAAGGGGTATAATGAAGTTGGCAACAAGTTTACGAACAAAACGGCGCATATGTGACTTAAATTGGACAAATGTACGCAAAGTTATCATATTATGAAAATCCAATAAAAAAAAACCAAACAAACTTTTTACTTGATCAATATATAATTGGCGCTTTGTAACCGCTGAAGCGATTTTCGGCCGAGCTTCTCCTCCAATTTGTGATGTTTTTTCAACAAATGGAGGTACATCCAGTTTATGTTAAGCCGTCTCCGAACGGGTGATAGTTTTTTATGAGGAGCTTTGTTAGTTCATGTCAGAAATACACCCGACACATCTGAGCAGATCTCGCCATGACGAGAGATCTTGTTGAAACCACATATTGTCCAAGTCCTGGTCTTCACGCTGTTGTCGTTTTCAAAGAAGTAAGGTCGAATCACACTTCCGGACCAAAAAGCGCATCAGACAAAGAGTTGGGTAAGGGTGAAAATTCTTTTTTTTTATTTATTTTAGGATTCTCGAACATGCGACGATTTTGCTTGTTTACGTATCCCCTCGAGTGGGAAATGTGCTTCGTCGCTGAAGAAAATTTGTTTTTCGAAAAATCGCCAGCTGCCTTCAGTTGTTGTGTGAGCTGGACTGGACTTTTCCTGGATGGAGGTGTAGGTCCAAGTGCAAATTGCGCCATAATAATTATATGCACTTCCCCTCAAATAAATTATAGTTATTGAAGCAAAAATATTTCTTTTAATTTAATTAAAAATTAATTTTCCTGCCGAATTGTTGTATTTTTTTGCATTTTTCGTATTCAATATTTTAACTTAAAACAAATTGTGTTGTGTAATATTTGTGGCAATTTCAAGCATGACCGGAGATAATAAGTTTTCTTTATAAACTAATCAAACCCAAACAAAAGGTCACTCATACGCCGTGGCGGCCAACCAAATCACTTGAGTATCTTATCGTTCAACCTCACTTATAACAAAAGCAAATATATCTGTATATTTCTTTAACAAATGCAAGCACATTTAAACTGTAAATTCAACTTACCTTTATTGAAAACGTTTTAAGTCAAGAAGAAGAAGAAGAAGTAGAACTTTTTTCAAACTTAATCACCAGCAGTGAGACAAAGAAAATGAGTTTACTTGTGATCTTGTTGTTTTTTGTTATAACTTTTGGCAACTTTATATTGCGTTTAGTAACAGGCACACACACACAAACAAACTTGTCTGTCAACTTTCACTTAAAATATGATTTTCACTAATTTCTCATGCCAACGACAGACAAAGTTAATAAGTAAGTGCGCGCGTAAATATGTATGGTATAATTCAACTACCGTAATGACTTTAAGCGCGATATTTTAGAGGGATAAAGAGAGTTTAAAAAGTTTTTGTTATTAATATGAGAACGTGGTAAGGAGTAGTTTCATTATTAATTTTTTATTTATTTTATTTTATTATATATATTTTTTTTTTTGCTTTTTCTCTTTTGTTTCGCTGAAGGATTTTCTTAGTATTCTTAGTTAAGTATTTTTTTGTTGTGAAAACTACTACTTAGGCAACTTCAACCGCATGAAAGTTCGTTTTGACAAGTAATCGGATTAATTCATAAAGAAGGCAAACCGGGGTTATACTGTAATGAATATGTTGCTGCTTTCACTTGAACTTAAGCTTCGACTCTCACATGCACATACACACACATACGCACGTTTGGTAAATAAATATATAAAACTTTTCGCAGCTTGGTAAGGAACGTTACTTTTCATTAGTCTAGAAAGTAAACTATTATACAACAACACTGCGATTTGGTTGTATTGGAAAGTGTACTTCAATTAAGTAGAAAGAAAGTTGAGTAGACGCGAAAAAAAATCATAAGGGAATTGTAGTCAAAAGCACTATAACTCAATTGCGAAGATTGAAAAAGAATTTTTTTTTAAATTTTTATGTCTTATAAACTCGTGTTTTAGCATTTATTAACGTTTTTAAAACCATATTATTTTTAACAAATGAATTATTTTTGAAACGCATAAAAACTGTTGCAATTTAAAAAGAAATATTACTGTTTTAAAGAACGCGTTTTAGTTTTATAACTTTCACTAAAATAAATTGAAAAAATTACAAAAAAAAATATCAATGCACTCATGCATATATTTTTTAAATAATTTTTTTTTTTTAATTTATTTAAATTTTTTTTTTAATTTTTAAAAATATTTCCAACAATAAAAGCACGTACTATCGCTGAGTTGCGCTACATTTATAATTTTTCCGCCTCAATTTCTCACTGTATACACGTCGTTCTGTTAGCCGTTGTGAACTGAGCGCCATCAGACATGGTGGAGCATTTTTGTAGCCAGCCGCTGCTCGTGCTGAGTGTGAAAAAAACCCAAAACATTAACTGAAAATTTCCCCAAACAATTGCCGCACAGCTGATTTTTGTTTTGTCAACAAAGCACTAAAAAAAGTGGGTGCGTGTTTGCAAGCGCATGCGCAGGTTGGAATTAAAAAAAAAAATACATTTCTAATGATTTTGGCGCCAAAGGCGGCGTAGCAAAATTAATTGAAACAAAAAGTAAAAATGTTGGCATAAGCGGGTGTGTATGTGTACCTAATGATTGTTGTGAAGTGAATTCACTCCATTTTCTGCGCTTTTCTTCCCAACGGCAAAGTAAAACTGCTTTATGCCACAAATTTTTGTATTTACGATACTCTTTATTTATATATATATATATATGAAAAATTATTTACGTATTACAAACTTTTCCAATTACCTAGGTTTACTTAATAGTTAATGTTGTGTAATAATTTATTTTTGAAATAAAAGAATTAAGTTAATTATTATGAGATAGATATGTAAAAGTATAATAAATATAGATGGGCTATTTAAAATGATAGTTATGGCAAATAAATAATTTGAAGATCTAATGTATAATGAAGCGACACATAATTTTATTCACCTTAGATTTTTAAAAAATAAATAATTAAATTAAGTATAAATAATATTAGTAAAATATTTTTAAAAATTGCCTACATTATCCCATATGAAGTATGTATTTTGTAGATGTACTTATAAAAATTTTGCTCAATTGTTTTTTTTTTTGCTTAGTTTTTTTTTTTGTTATTAGTATTTGTTAAAGAAACATCAATTAAACGAAAGTATTCAGTATTGATAAAAAATTGCCCCAATTTGATGTTCGTCTACCAATTGGATTTCGATATTTATATCTCGCGGCAGCATCTTTCAGTTAGTCATCCATAATAAATAGGCTATTAAATTTCGCATTATCATCTACCACCAAGACAACACCTTTATTAATACCAACAAAATCGTCACTTATATTTTCGGTAACACTTGTCTCTACAGCTACATCTTTGTTAGCGTTGACCGTTACTTCGTAGCAATCTTCATCGTCGTTATCGTCGCCAATGGTATTGCTTTGAATGGACGAAGCAGCTGGAACATTTTCTGTTTCTATTATCTCAATACTATCACTATCGCTGTCCGACAGTTCATTTGCTAAATTTTTACTTTCGACGTCGCCTTCAGGATTTAGCTCTTCAGCATCATTTACATTTTCTGGTATTCCATTTGTATCCTCATCTACATCTTTTTTATGTACCTTATAATGGTGTTTATGCAACTGCGTTGGTCTATTAAACTGCTCGCCACACATAAGACATTTATAGGGATAATCCCCAGAATGTATGCGCATATGTACAAGCATATTACACTTTTTGGTAAAAGCTAGCTGACAAACGCTGCACACATGTGGCGCAATGCCTTCGTGTATCATACGATGTTCCTTAAGATGTCCTTGTTGTCGAAAAGAGAGCAGACAATGTTCACATTGATATGGTCGTACATCGTCATGTATACGTTCGTGAGTGGTAAGAGCGGCTAAAGTGCGAAAAGCTTTACTGCATATTTCGCATTTATGGGGCTTTTCTTGCGTATGAGTACGCAAATGCATTTTGTGTGCGAAATGACCTTTCGACATTTTGCCGCAGTAAATACAGTAAATTTTTTTTTTCGTTTTTTCCTTTTTATCGCTAGTTTTAGATGTGCCAACATCAGACTCAGTTGTATCATTTGATAAATTTTCCTCTCCTGATTGTTTTGCATGGCTGAGCATATGTCTTCTCATAGACGATAAAGCAAAGAAACTATAATACAAATTAGAGTGTATAATATTATTTCTTATTAATGAGAATATATTTATATTGTAATTACCGTTTTGGACATAGTTCACACTGCACATCGCCTTGAGTGTTATGCTTTACCAAGTGCTGCTGGAGCACATCGGAACGCATAAATATCTGACCACAAACGTCGCACACGAACCCCATATTTTTGTGCACTGCACGTGCATGGCGCGATAAATTGAAACGTGATTGAAAGGTACGTTCGCAAAGCGGACAGTGCAACTCCTCCTTGTTGTTGTGAGCATGGATATGCCTTGTTAGACTATCACGCCTTAAGAACTTCTTGTCACATAGCGTACATGCAAAATTTTTAACGTCATGTATTTTAACGTGATTACGATAAATATATTTGTTGCTGAAATCTATATTGCAGATGTCACAGTTATAATTAGACACCTAGAGATGAAAAATAATTTAGAATAAAAAAAAAAAATTAAATAACCGGTTAATGCTATGGTTCCTCACCGTTTCTTCCGTAATCGTTTTACTGCTTATTACAGTTGTGAACTCTACTACGCTATTATCTTGTATCGTTGTACGTCGAGTTTCCCTGTTTTCATCATCGAAAGTATTATGCTCAACTTTTGTAAAATACATTTGGCATTCATTTATATCAATTAGTTCATTGCAATCACTATCGGACTCTTCGTATACAATATCCGTTTGTTCGTTAAGAGATCTATACTGACTTTCCTCCTCTTCAGCTGAAGAAATTATTTCTTCAATTATTTCAGTATCTTCATTTTCAACCGACTTCAATTCTTCAAAACGACTTTCTTCTTGCTGTTTGTCGTCGCGTTCTGGTTCATCATCATCCAGTAGTTCAATAATATCAACCTCATTTGACGCATCATTTTCAAATGTTTCTGAAGACACAATTTGTGGCAGCTGTTCACAACCCTCAGTATCATCTACAGGCATAATTTGACTAACAGTATCTAATTGAATGCGCTTCTCTGCAATTACCTCGTGATCTTTACTGTGTTCTGTAGTCGATCCGCTTGTATCGGGCAATACCCGCTTACAGATAATTACTCCTCGCTTTCGTAATTCCACTTGTAGGCGCTCTTCATCAGATAATTCTGGCATATTTTCTAAATCTAGTATTTCCACTACATGTTCCTTAGAAGTTTCATTTGGGGACGGTTCTACTCCTACATCTTTGCTTCCTGTTAACTCGTGTGTCGGCTCGGCATCGACTAATTGTGAGGTTTTCTCACTTTGGTTTGTTGAAGTGCAAATGTTGTTATCAACATCAGAAATCAATCTTTGATCCCGATTTTGCGGTACTGAGGGCACACGCTGTTGAATATTATACGCACTAAGTTCATCTTCAATGTCTGTTGTGGTACTAATTGTTTGCGATTCGATTTCATGACGCAGACGCTTTTCCGTCTCTTCACTTTGTTTACGCAAGCGGTAGGAGAAGAGTAAGCCATCCTCACAACGTTTGCAAATAAATTTTGGTAGCATATCATTTTCTTTTATCTGAAATATAATTGAACAAGTATTTTTAGAAATAATATCACTCCCAATAAGGAGGTAGCTTGGGTTCCTTCTTACTACTACGTTCGCACAAAGTTCGAGCAATTCCAATAGCTGCTTGTCGTTTTGAAAAAATTTAAGATTTTGATCTCCTCCGCAGATGCGACATAATATCTCCATTTTCTTTTTTTGGAAGTGTAAGTTTAGGACCTTGTTTATCTTTTATTTAAGTCTAAAAAAAATGCTTCTTAAAATCTTTGTTTACTGGAAAAAAACCAACAACATGAAGTCAAGCGTAACTACGATATCAGCTGATCGTGGTAGCAGACGCCAGTTGAGGGAAAGACCTATCGATAATAGAAGTGTTGGAAAACATTCACTTATTGAACAAACTATTCAGCTGCAAGCGCACGATTTTATTTTAATTATTTCATGTATATGCAAATTAATAATGTTGCGAAAATGCGAGGCGAATGTCAGATGAAAGAGAGAAGCCGATAACTAGTACATTCTAGAAACGATAAAACAAGAACCTTCCATAGCGAACAATTCGATGCTTCTACGCTTTCGTCTGCGAGCAGCTGACTGCTATATAAGGGCGACACTCAGCTGCAAGTCAAGTTAGTTACAAAGTGAGCTCGTTGGCGTTAACATCAGTTAAGTCGTAAAGTGAACGCGTTGGGAATTACATTTAAGTAGAGTAAATGGTGAAAGTTTATGCAAGTGATTGTAGCTAGTAAAGTGCCTTGTAATTTAATTGTGTATTACGGAGTAAATAAAGGACATTGGATAAAATCTTTATTACGAAAAAAACTGGAATTTAAGTTGGCGAGTTTTATTTAACAATCCAGAGATCGTTCCCGAAGTATTTAGGAAATCATCGAGGTTGATTTAGTAAAATCGTTACAATAATATTAAACAACTGAATCGACGGGTTCAGACGAAGCAACATAACATGCTGATATAAAGAATTTTCTTTCGGCTGTGGTTGTTTCAGGTAGCAGCGGCATCACTTCATTTAGAAAATATACGGCAATCCTGCTGCAAGGTCGCTCAGCTAGTAGTTTTTTACTTTAATTAGATGGACGACTCAATTTGACAAACAGCAACCTTTATGTCAGATAAATTTCAAACAAAGAGTTAGGAGAAGCTTCTATTGAATGGGCTCACGGAAAGTTACTGCAGTGTTTTAGAGTGATGTTAATTCCGTAAACCATTGGCTTCCACCTCTCTGTAATTCTTCAGGCGAACAGTCGCTTTTCGAGCTTCACTACAGTCGTGTGAAGTAAGATCTATTTCATCGTCATCATCATTTCCACTGTAGTTCAGCCAGCTGAAAGAGTGTTCACTTCATTAACTCGGTATCCTCTGGACATAGGTCAAAAAGGACATCCTAGGTCTCTACTTGAGTATGCGCCCATTTTGAAACCCCAAAGCATTACCACTGTCCCAAATTGCGTTTCGCTGACTAGGCAACGCGATATGGACGATCGATTGTTGCGAAATCTTACTGCACTGCGATATGCAACGCTCGTAGTATGAGTTTCCTTCTCTACAACTCCCTTACATCGACGAGTACTTTCAGAGAACAAGAATGTAAATTACGCTTGGCTGTGTGTTTTCGATTACAAGCTCTCGCCATCCAACCTACCGACCTCGGAGAGTGTGTGGCCATTTTGAACTCTAGTCAGTGGTGGATTCCGGTACTACATACTATACGTTAGACCCACCTAAGTTACTCTGCCACCGTTCTTGAGGGATGTTCCGTTAAATATATTGAGTTTTCTAAGTAGCACCTTTGCACACTATGCCATTAAAATTAACTAGCACATATATAAAACTGTGGTGGGAGCAGCCTTCAGAGGTGCTAATAGATGATATATTTGTTCGCATGGTCCTTCTCTTTACTCAGGACCCAAATCTACGATATTTTGAAAAATCCCGTTTTAAAGGGGATCTTTAGCTTAAGCTACCGGGGGGTACTGCTAGTACTCAGCGCGGGGCTCCCTCGTCTAACACCAATCACAAACAAGCGCTCTCTTTTATAACGCTCCATGACCTCCTCGACCTACCGTTCATCGCATCCCTTAGTAACGTCGGTGTTTAATTTTATCGAAGGCATCAACCAACCGGAAAGTGACACCTTCACACTTGGGGATCCGACCATTTCAGATGCATACCCTCAAATCAAAGTTCTTCTTCTTATTTCGTTTTAAGCCACACCTAAGTAGTGAGGCGCTTGTTCCGAATCCGACGCCTACTCCATGCTGCATTTTATACGTCCCTCTGCATATACGAAAGGGCTAATACCCCGACCCCGCGGGTTGTAAGTAGGTCACACACTAGGGTTTCCAAAAGAAATATAAAACAACAAAGAAACATCGTGCTTAATATCAACAATGAAATTTGTTATTTCCAAGCTCTATGATCTTATGTGTGTACACACATACATATGTATGTGAATTTACGAAGTTTATGATTTTATTAGTTGTCTTTAAAAAATCTAACTTTACATGTACAAAAGTCTCAATCAAATTTTTGCGCATGTTCAACATTACAATGCTTCTGCATATCTCCTGCAGTGGAGAAAACTGATACGCAGAGCCCGCATTCGTAAAGTTCCACAGATCTTCCGTGTTCTCTTAAAGTATGCGCATGTAAGTCATCACTGGTGGCAAAGCTAAGGTCACATGACTCGCAAGGAAAGTCTGAGGCTTCATGGATACTCAAGTGGCGGAGCAGGTTTTTTCTATTAAACAAGACACATATACTTATAAAACAAACATGGCCTGAGACGTAGTAAGTGAATAAGTACTTACTTGATGGCAAAACATTTAAAACATTTGCGACACTGGAACTTCTTTGCACGACTGGGCTCCAAGGCCGAGGTTGTCATAAGATCTACCACATGTGCTGCGGCGCCAATGTCTTCCGTACTTTCAGTAGTCGGCTCGCTTATGAAAGCGTTCGCTTTATCGTGTAGCGGATCATCGTCAATACGCGTATAGTCGAATATAACCTGAGAATTTTCGTCGGAATTTATTTCACGGTTCGCACATGACATTGCCGAGTCGACACGAACGTAGTCGTTTAAATGCTTCTTCATATGTTCTTGTAATAAAGTTTTATCAGCAAACACCTGTTTACATATGGCGCAGGTTGTCAACTCCTTATTGCCTTGTTGGGATTTGATGGTATGCCGTTTAAGAATGTGTGTCTTGAGAGAGAAAAAGCAGATACATACATACATATTCATAAAGCTTTGCTATATGCATCAATGTAAGTTGTATATTACCTTCAGCCCGTCCTTCTGCCGGAAGAGTGCACCGCATTTTTCACACGGAAATGGTTTGTCGCCCGTGTGCCTTCGAATGTGGAACACCAGACTTTTGCACTGTGTGAAGCCTCGGTGGCAGATCTCACATTGATAGGGCTTTTCACCCGTATGTGTATACATATGCTGCTTTAACGATACATTCTGGGTAAAGCTCTTGTTACAAACATTGCACTTGAACGGCCGATTGCCATCATGTGTGGCCATATGACGTGTTAGGTTGGTTTTAGTGCTAAAGTCACGATGGCATTTCAGGCAGTAGAAACGCTTGGAGGCACTTAAGCTATCAACAGTTCGCTTAGCTGCCTTTACGGTCGTTACATGGCCGCCGGCTTTAGATTGACCTCTACGTGCTTTACTTTTGGTTACTTGAATATTTTCTTCATTGCCCATATCTTCAGTATGCGTCCTCAGCAGCGTAGAGATGGGAACATCATGATTGTCTTCTAAATTAGCTTCATCCATTGCTTTTATCTCGTCATCCGTATCATCTAATAACTCTTCAGCCTCATCGTACATATGCATATCGTTCCCCTCCGTGGTTTTGTCTTGAGTCGAACTATTATCTTCTAAATATTCACCATCTTCCTCTAGCATTGCTTGATACTCTTTAAGGAATCCATCGCTATTTTGCGTTTGGGGTTCTATTACTTCTAGACTACTGTGTGTATCTTCACTCGGTTGTATGTTCACTTCTAATATTTCCAACTCTACTTGTGACTCTTCGTCGGTATAATCGAGTATTTGGATGTCGTGCTCTGAAGAAGTACCCTTTTGTATCTCAGTAACCGAAGTGATTTTGTTTAAATCTGCGTTTCTTTCCTCTTCATATTCAGTCTCTATTTGCATATCAGACTCAAAGGACTCGAAAGTGTTCACATCTTCGCCAATATTTTCTTTCTTAATATTTATCTTCACTGCCTTTGTATCGGTATTTTTTGAAATATCTTTTTTTGCGTTTAGAGTTACTTTTTCTGAATTATTTGGAATTTTATCAACGGATTTCTTTCTCGCACATCTCGGTTTCTCTCTGCTTAAAAGTTGGGATGTAAGCGTTGCACTTTCATCATTTTTTCCAACGGCTTGCTCTGAAACCATTTCGGATTCTTCTGCCGCTTTATCTATACAACTTTCATCAAGTATAATTGCGATCTCTTCATCATCTTCTTCGTCTTCGTTTACAGTCGACGTTTCGGAAGATTTATTTGTTACTAATTCGAAATCTTTATTAATTTTGGTGAGAAAAGCTTTCAAATTTTCCTCTGATTCGTGAGCTAATTTCACAAAACTGTAAGCCATCTGGAGACGCTTGGAGCATTTACTGCAAATTATTGAGGGCATATCGTCGCTGTCGTTGAGCTGTAGAATGAAAGAAAGTAAAAAAAACCAATTTCTTAGAATATCACAATGTTTAGAGAACCAATAAAAGGGAAGATCTAACAGATAAGCTGCTTTTAACAGAAAGGAAAGCACACGCTAACGCCATCAAAATACCCGTGGTTGACAAAACCTAGACCTTATTTGTCGAAAGCAGTCCGTGTTGTTGTTGTAGCGGATCGCTAATCCCGCTTTGGTACAGGTTTGATCAATCTAAGTCGCCAAGGTCATCTAGTGGGAGGTCCAGGAAACGTGCTGTTTCGACGGGATTGGACCAGAGGGAGATGGGGTTTATATGAGTCAGTTTAAGGTGGCATGTGAAGCGGGCACGACACTAAGCGAAGACTCTCCACATGCAGGGCATACTTTGGTTATGCTGGGGTCAAGTCTGGATAAGTAGGAGTTTAACCTGCTACAGTATCCAGACCTAAGTTGTGCCAAGGTCACGTGGGTTTCTCCTGGCTTGTTGTCTGCAATGGGTGGCGGTCTGTCTCCGAGCACGCCATTCACGGAAAGGGAGTCTTTGAAGGTGTTGACTGACTCCTGGTGAATGGCGTTTAGTGTCTGTCTGTACGCCGTCCTGTCCAGCGGTTGTTGCACGTATTGCATTATGCTCCTTAACTCGTAGTTTCTTCATCTACGTCTCGTTCATCCACGGCGCACAAATCGGTGAAGCATAATTTACGACTGGACGGTCAATTGTTTTGTTAGTTGCCAGCTGCCGGCTAGCGCTTTGAGTATTTTGCTGCGGCTCTGGAGGTTTGGGTTGTTTACGGTCGGAAGTTTTACGTCATCGACCATTACATCAAATTCAAGCCTGTATTCCTTCGTCCAGCTGGTGAAGAGGATAGCCGAGGATTTAGGCGTTTGTATTTTTAGTTGTCGCGCAGTGAAGCACAGAGAAAGATCTGCAAGATAGCAGTTCACTTTCGAACAGAGGTCATCAATATCCTGGCCAGACGCCATTATCGTGCAATCATCAGCATACGAGGTTAGGGAAACTCCTTCTGGTGGAGGAGCGAGTGTGGAAATGTAAAAATCAAACAGTAATGGGGAGATCGATGACTCTCCTTTGTCCATTTTTCACACGTCAGGTGTCGCTAGGGTGGTCAAAGACAGGTTGATGACCTTGGTGAGAAAGTCTGCTTCCGCTAGTTCAAGATGTTTTAGCACAAGCATGACGCGCCTAGATGCTAGCACCGTCCTTTCTGTAGGAAAATTGAGACGGATTTCTGCGATTCAGCCTAACGCAATGAAGCGGGCGGCAGCGGTCACGATGACCCTGCGAAAGTAGTGACGTCTGAAGGGGTGGGGAGAGAACTGGAGGCGTTCTCGGTGAATTCCGTGAAGCCGGACAAGTTAACTTTTTTAAAGTTGACAAATGTCCGGTGATCCGATGCTAGTGTCAGTACAGATCGGCAGGCTATACTGTCTATCAGACCAGCACTCGCAATTGTTATATCTGGCGAGCTTTAGCAATTAACCACAAGTCTGGTCGTGGCGTTATCGCTTATTCTGCAGAATGTCGAATAGTCTTTCTGTTCTGCCAGCGCCATTAATCTACCGTCTTTTTACAGTCTACAACGCCAAAGATCGAGATGCGCGTTAAAGTCGCCCGAAACCAAATGCGCTATATCAAACTTGCCAACTTGTTATAGGACTCAAGATAGCCGGTTCTACGCACCGGAGTTTACCCTGATTTTATCCGACCAAGGGCTGTCATCTTTTCGGCGATCTAACCTCGTTTATGTCAATAGGTAACATTAATTTAAGCTCGCCAACGGAGCAACACTTCGCACTGGGTAGCTCCAAATCTGCTACGTGTGGCAGAAAAGACTCCATCACTCCTCCATCTCGGTTAGGTGTAAACAGTGCAATGGTTGGAGTAATCTTAAGACCTTCTCAGGCCTTAAGACCCATAGGGAGTGGATCACAAGTTATGTGGCCTAAGTGCGCCTCCAGCCTCCACCGCAGTACCTTCAGCACCTTTACCCACTTTGGGTAACCAACAGACCTATACGTTCTCACAGAGATCCCCGCAGCTTGACTTCCACCAACCCCCACCCCCATCATTATCCACAACCAGCTCCTTCTTTCATGCGAGGGCTACCCAACAGCTCCTAGTCCCCCGCACAGTCTGTTCCGTGTGTCAGACCATAGTGCGTCGGAACATGACTTCAGCCAGATGCAACTCTCGCTCTGGTTGGTGTCATTTTCGGACGAGCTCTGGCCTGTACACCATCCGAGAGTGGAGTGATTCGTACGTTGCCCCGTGCTGTTGGAGTCTGCCCCCGCCAACCAACACCAACATGCGACATCAAACTCAGCGGGTATTACAGCAGCAACACTCTCCATCCACGCATCACTCCCTTACCCCGAGAAACACTAACGTTCTCCCGAGACCAACTCGAATCCCACAATTCAATTGAAAGAATACCATCTTCCTGGTTACTGAAGTATTTTATGAAACACACAATATTATTGACACTCACAAATACTTTATAATAGATAATTTCCTGTGGTCTTTGTATGGCATTCACTTTCATCATCAAAAGTAGATATGTGTGTTATTTTATGTGATAACTAACTAAAACAAGGAATCAATCATAAAATAAAGTACATACATACATAACAAATGAAATAAACATAACGTAAAATCCTAATAATAGCATGAAGACAGGCAGATGAATGCAAAATCATTGATAAGCAATTGACTTGACCCCCCATAACAGAATTCATTTAATTTGTGAAACAAACACGTAGATAAGAATTCGTTTTATTTTATTTATTTCGTGTGTATTTTAAATAACATCTCTTAGAGTTTCAAAGTCTTTAATTGCATATTTCTTCCACTCATCGCCTTTTTTTATTTCTTATCTGGCACAGTCTGTGCAATCCAATTTAAATATGGTGCATTGCCCTTTTCAATGGGCAAGGTTATCACCTCAGCCACACTGTAAGAGTGGTTCTCACGCACAAATTTGACCAATTCATCCACACGACTGGTCCTTGTTTTGATCATCATTAAATACTCATTGTCCTCATTCACTTTTCCCTCCCACATATATATGGATTGTATTTGCGGAATAATGTTGACACATGCAGCTAATTTCCTTTCCACCAAACCTTGTGCTAATTTTTTCGCTAATTTTTCATCGGGTGTTGTTACAAATGCCACCGAGCTGCTACCTTCGACATATGAATCTTCAGCAGGTCCACTCATTTCTTCACAACTTGAACTTAAAGAACGGCTACAACTTTTATCGTATAAATTGCCTTGGCTGGAGGCAGTAGAAACCTTTAATATATTCACGGCAGCTACAAAAGTCACAAGCAGTTTACGCGTAGTAAATACTGACGGAGCGTGATTTAAAGAAAGCAGTGACCGCCTGAATAATTGCATTTACAATGTGAATTTTGACAAAGTTCAGCTTAAAACAGTGGTTTAAGTAGCTTATTGAGACCGGTGTTTTTGTTTATATTTACTAATTTCCCTTTGTCGATTGCATTCGCTGCTGATATGAAAATGTCTACAAACATATACATAACATTATGTAGCAGAACAAGTATAGGTATGTCAGAATTAGGCCCGACAAGGAAATTTTTACTAATTCTGTAATTTATGAATAGAATTTGAATTATAAACATGCTTCAAATACATTTTAAATCATTTGTATAATTTTCATAGACATTTATTATTTTGCTTATTCACTGAAAATTAGAACTTATAAATAAAACCGGGTACTCATTTATTTAAGCAACACTGTTGTCACTAGTAAAAGAGTTTCTTCGCGGCCATCTTCTCTAGTACAACCTGAATTTCGTGTACTAGAATAGTCGTCTAATAAACAAAATATTTACCTTCAAATGAGTTGTAAACACAAACTTTTCACCTAATTCCTTGTTATCCACAAGTGAAAGACCATCATCCGACTTCATACAAACACGGCAAATATTTATATTAATCCGAAAATTCATTGCATTTAACAAAATTTTAAGCAATCAATTAACAAATAGCTAAAAATCCAACCCGAATTGAAGGCACCAAAAATGACATTCGTTAAACGGACAGCAAAACTTTGTGCGAATTTACCAACACTAAATTTTGGTTTAGTGATGCCGTATGGAAAAATGATATGACTTGTGGAAAACAGCTTCAGCAAAAGTTGGTTAGCATCTAAAGTCTCTTTTGGCAAGTTTTTATTTTCAACTTTCAATATTTTATGTAAAATGTTGATTTCAGCAAAATGCTTTACAATCCAGACAAATAAAGTTTTGTTTTGCTGCTGCTATTTTAACCTTTAAGCTGTAAACGAGCATCGATTCCCGGACATTACAACACCACAACCCAACGAGCATGTCGGGAACCCTCCTTAAACTTCCACTGTGAAGCATCTATGCTACGAGTTAAGGAGCAAAATATGGTATTGTTTAGGCAATTTTTATAGGGATGTTCACATAGCTGAACCTTCACCAAAACTTTCAGAGAGATAATAAGATGAGACTGACATTCAGCACCATAGAAAAGAACTCACCGAGAATCCGTCAACACTTTCATTAATTTATCTACTACCTATTGCAGACGAGACGAAGGTCTCGAGTGTCCTGAGTTATACTAGTACAATTAACTTTTGGTTTTTGTAGTCCATCTAATTCCTACATATCCAGACTTGAATCCCGACATACCCAAAGTATGTTCTCCGCATGACACTAAGCACCTCGGTGCAATCCATTTAATCCCCTTTTACCGTGGTCAGAACATATCAATACAGTATCTCTTCTCGACCACCCTCCTCGGGTAATAACGAAATTAAACATGAAAATTATCGTAGCTATGAAGCCTTGTTGAAATCTATTACTCCCTCAATAAGGTGGCAGCATTGATCTTTTATATCTGCAAAAATGTCAATATCAGCAAAATAAATAAAATAGATGAAAAAGTCAGAAAAGTATTTGGTGGATGGAAAAAGAAAGTGTAAAGCGAAAAAAGGCATCGGGAATTGAAATCCAATTTGTTGACAAAGCTGATTTATAACCAATTTAACTTCTAAAAATAAAAAATCGAACTGCATAAGAGTTAAGCAGTTGACTTTGAAGGCAAATCTACACAGCTACGTAGTTTTGCTTCTCAGCAAATACCAGAGAAAAATGCCAGTGAATAACACCAGTTCAAATTTCAAGACATTCAAAGTGGTGCTACTGGGCGAAGGTTGTGTTGGCAAAACTTCAATTGTACTACGTTATGTCGAGGATAAATTTAATCCACAACACATAAGCACCTTACAGGCTTCATTTCTCACGAAAAAACTTACTTTGGAAGATGGCAGTCGTGCGCATTTGAACATATGGGATACTGCCGGACAGGAACGTTTTCACGCACTCGGACCCATATACTATCGTGGCTCTCACGGTGCCATACTTGTCTACGACATAACCGATGAAGACTCATTTCAGAAAGTAAAAAATTGGGTGAAAGAATTGAAACGTATGCTTGGTGCTGAAATCGTTATAACAATTGTTGGCAATAAAACAGATTTGGAAGCCCAACGGACTGTAGAACAAAATGTAGCAATAGAATATGCTGATAGTGTGGGCGCACACTATTTCGAGACATCTGCCAAAGCCAATGAAGGCATCGAAGAATTATTTACTGCGTTAACACAACTAATGATGCAACGTCATGAACAGCGACGGGAACAGGAAAATAGTTCATTGCGACTCTTACAGGGTGGACGTACGTCACAACGGCTCGTCGTGGAGGATGATTCACAAGATGGTGACGAAGAGGGGGGACAAGCGCCAGCGTCAAATCGGTCATGTTGTGGTGCTGGCTAAAATAGCTAGGGTCTCTTATACAAACATAATTGCTTAAAAAAAGAAAAGAAATATTCAGACAATATACTAAAACAACAAAGAGAATGAATAGTAGAAAATATAATGCAATTATGTTAATGGGTGTGCAAATGTAAATGATGATAATAAAATTTAAATAAAACCACGACGACGTAGACAACGCCAACGCCGATTTCAGCCGCCGCTAGATTAAATTGTGATAAACTTATTGTAAAATATAAATTTAAATATTTTCTTTCTTTGTATAAAAACGCTTTATAATATTATGTGCTTATCTATAAATGTATTTTCCCTTCAAACTAATTCTATTCTCGATCAAAAACAAAAATCTAATTTAAACTTCTATTTAGTACTATGTAAACGTACATACATAGATCTAGTAGCGAAACTACCATACTAATTCGATACATTTAAAATTTGTTATTTTTAATATGCTTTTATTTGTTGTTATTTTGTAATACAATTAAAGTACTCTGCTTCAAATGGCAGCAAATCATGAAAAGACTTAAAGCAAATCAAGTTTTTTATTTAACTGGGACAATAATTTGCCAAAAGTTTTTACGTACATATGTATGCAGTGTTGTGATTCACTCTTGAATTGATTAAGATAGCTATTTATGGGCTTATCGCGCTCTTTCTTATCACTGAACATGGATACTTGCACATACATTTACACAAATGTGTGAACCTACCTAAAGTTAGGTTAGGTTGTCGTTGCCAGTGAAAGAGTTAAAGTTTTTGTATTGTGTGTAGGAGTTTAATTTCTGAACCAATGTTAAGCATCAATGTTCACCTATTCTATTTACGTATAAATATTCTAAATTGATTTTTTGTATTTGACCAAAACTAGAGATAGATTACCCACGAAACCCAATTAACTATGTCCTTCATATGATTTCAATTCGTAGCAAATTAAATTCTTACGCTTCATGTGAAAGCGCAAATTTTTAAATGAATAAAACACACACTTTGCAGAGTCTACAAAAATATCGCATATGTATTGAGACATACATACATAGTATTTATTTTATCCAATTTCATAATCGAATTTAACCTGTTTTTATTTTTAAACTGTGTTTTCTTGCTTATTAAATACCATAAAAATATGCAAATTCTCTGGTTTTCTAATAACTATTTTTAACATTATTAAAATATATTGTATATATATTTAATTCAACTTTTATTTTATATATAAAAAATTGAAAGACTCAAAAGCGAACATTTGAATAAAGTAAAGATATACTAAATTTCAAACTTACAAACTAAATATATAATATTTTATTCATATATAAAATATACGTACAAACATATGTATGTATATCTGTAATTTTAATGAACAACCCATACTCTAATTTACATATTTTCGCAATTTAATTTTTTTTTTCATTTTACACTTCCACATTGGCAGAATATACTATGTGCTTGTATAAGTAGTATATTTAAATGATTACAGTTGTGATCATTGACTACATAAATTTTGAGCTTATAAAAGCTTTTTTTGTATTTGTTTTATGTTTGTTTTTGTATAAAATGTATATACTTTGTTAGAAAAAATATTATATCTTAATCACAGAACTACATCGGATTGTCCTTTGTTGGATGTATCTATTTATGTATGTATAAAATTTCTTTTATTGTTAAATTCGTCCCATTCGACTTTGACAGTGTTTGTTTGCGTACCGCTTCTACGCGCTACTGATTTTTTTTTTACTTTTGTTCATCTTCTTCCTTCAAACTACTTGGTGCGATCGTGCTTTGATGGCTCAACTTGCTTGGCAAATTCACTCATTACATCCTTATAAATGGCGGGATCCAAATTACGACCCAACATGTAGATTAGCCACCAATCGCCGATATCCAATTTGCGTGAGAGCGATCGGCAAATCTCCATGGGCACCATACGATTGCGTGCGTTGAGCAAGCGAGGGCGAAATTCGGGCATGAAAATTATGCAAGCGCTGTAGGGGTGAAAAAATAAAAACAAAAAACAAAAAACAAAAAATAAAAAATAAAAATGAAATAATAATGACGAAAAAGTGAGTAGCATAGAATAAGTAATATTTAGGAGAAAAACTTACCGGAAGATCATCAGACCGATCAACATAACCAGCATGATCATATACCAGAACCAAATGAATACATAAGTCTTCTCATTGACAATATTCAACGGTAATATGCAGAGTGAGTCATGCTTCTGCAACGAACCGGAAGCACCATATTTATGGAAAATACACTTGGTGACACGCGGAAAGATATAGACCATCGGATCAATGCGTTGTTCCTGTGGCACATCCGACAACTGCATAACACGTGTGCCGTACGACATGAACTCACCATCGAAGAAACGATTCATTAAATACATTTGTATGACAATGTTGATAAAGCACAGTGCTTCGCAGGCCCAATAACGTATGGCGTACAGCTTGTGACGCTGGAGAAGAGATAAAAAATGTTTTACTTTTTTTATTCATTTTTTTTGTGTTTTCTTGCTTTTATTAAGCGATATTAAAGGGTAAATTACCTTCACATGCTTGGTCAAGTAGTCCAATAAAGCATCACGCTTAGCTTCTTTCTCCTCACGCGTGCAAATCGTTATATTCAAACCCATAACGATCATGCGCATGAGACCGCCTTCAAATTTGTCCCACAAAAATTTGGGAGTGTAGCAAGCGATAGCCTAAAAGTATGCAAGAAAATTTTATTATTAGCTAAATAAATGAGGTAGCGAGAAGCGAGTTTAAAAGTAATTGAGATAAAATGTTTATCATTGGAAAATAAATATATCAAGACGTTTGAGTTGTCAAGTTGAAGACATTTTTTTTTTACATTTTGTTATCAGTAAATTTAGTATTTCGAAATATTAGCAGGTCACATATAACGAAAGTGATAAGACACTTCCCTCACTGCTCCTCAGCGATCATCTCAGCATTGTTAAAAAGATCGCCTTGGGAAGCCGCTTTCAATCACATCCTGCTGCTGCGACACTTGTTAATTAACCACCAGCGGCCGCAGGGACACATGAGAAGTCTGCTGTTGCGTCACAACACAGCGCCACATTGGCGTGGCGCAAAACTGGTCATTGATCTTGCCATGTATGGTCCCTGGAAATTTCAGTTGAACCACTTTTTCACATGTTTTTGTTGCTGTTATGGCATTGATTTCGTGATTTTCTTGAATTTTTTCTCAAACCTCTGTCTTTACAAGCAATTAAAATCAGAACACAGTGTCGAAGTCTGGCAATTTGTCTGCTCAGTTTTTCTGCTGTCGTGGCAAGCACGCTAAAGGCCTTTTTTGTGTGAATGTAAACCTTCACAAATTAGGCTCATGTCGTGTCTGTATGTCGTGTGCACATGAGTGCACAATTTATTGTTATTTTTGTAATTTTTTTTGTTTTTTGTTTAGTAATTTATGTTTGTTAACTATTTTATTTGATTAAATTTATTTCTATTTTTGGTTTTGATGCAATTTGCTTTTTAATTGTGTTGCATTAATTTCTTTCTTTCCTCCTCCAACTGTTCCACTTGGCTTACGAATTTGAGAGCTTGTGCAGAGGCGTTTGAAGCAGTGTTATTGTCGAAAAGCTCGTAGACTGGATAAACAAATAGAGGAAGTTTAAGAATTTGTATCGCGTTCGTAGGGCATAGAACATATCGCACACTTGCTTTCACCTCCCGATTAAAAAGAAAGACGAAGTAATTAAAGATGCTTTTTATAAGAACCTGGAACTTCCTTACGAGCGCTCCGCTATAAGAGGTGTTAGTTTGATATTCAAAGAAACTTTTCCTCGTTGTTCAGATCACCACCATCCGATCTCTCGATAGCACAATCCATTTAACGTGACTATTGCTCCGGCTTCATTTTCGAAAAAGTCCTAATACCGCCGGACCATAAGCCGCACCAAAAAGTTACACGTTGAGAATGGAGCAGTTTTTATATAAAAAATAAACTTGGGTTTTTTGAGCCCCCGATGCGACAGTATTGTATTATAGACGTCGTCATGGAGGTGGAAAGGGACCTAATCAGCCAAGATGATTTTTCGATGGCACAACCGCGATAGGCAAAGAAGGTATTTTTAGTTATCCCTAGTACTCGATTACAGCACGAAAAATTTTAGCAAGCTACTTGGTTGTCCTCGGACCAAAAAACTTGCATCCCGATCGACCTTGTTGGTTGAGTTAGACAGACGACATGTCCCCAGTGTTCTAGCCGTACTTACGCTCCGGGAAGCTAACACCGAAGCAGCAAAGACACTATTTACAGTTGACGAACGCTCGTCAACAAACACAAGGAAGGTCTACGGGTTTCTACTCGACTTGCACACCTGCTCTCCAAAGGTAAGTAGACTGGGAGCCGCATTAAACTTTCTGTATATCGCTATCAGAAGAACTTTTGCATTTCGGTGGAAAACACAACTGTTACGATAAGAAATGTCGAGCGAAGGACAACTACGCGCGGTGTGTGGGAGAAATAGACAGTTGAAAAGAGAAGCGAGATGCATTTGCAGATCTAGCCATGACGTGTGCCTATGGAGAGCTTGACAAGTCGACAGAAGTAAAGCTCAAAACTACTATGATAAGATGCGGCGAGCTACAGCAGGTTTCAAGACTGAAGCATACTCATGTAGTATCCGGAGAGGTGATCTAATGATTGATGCCCAGCATGCTGAATAGAAGTGGAACTCCAGAGTTGGTGAATCAGACTGTTCAATCGATGAAGATGAAACAGAAGGTAAACAACATGGCGAGACTCGATTGTCACGCGCTGAACTATTCAAATACAGGTCATATCTAGAAAGTAAGGGATTTCGACATAGTCGCCTTTCCTCTCTATGCAGGTAGCGAAGCGGGATATCACATTTTGTATGTCTTGCTCGAAGTGGGTTCTCGCCGAACCCTTCGTTCACTACTCGCTCTCTTCCTTCTTCCCCATCTTCTCATTTTCCTGTAGGAAAACATTTTTCCACTCATGTGCAGCTTCAGGGTGGTAAAAAGATTGTAATCTGAAGGAGCTGGATCAGGGATGTTTCAGGACATCTTATTTAAACGAGGCCAGTAGACTCGTTTTGCCTTTTCTCTTGTTCTGAATCTGAATGATCCTCAACGAGTTGGGATCGGCGAATACCGCAGAACATTTGATGATGAGCTGTATAAGATATACGACGACATTGTTATAGTTCATGATATCCGGATGGATGAGAACCAGATTTGAAAGTATTTGAATGCAGTACTCACTGGTAGAAGCAAAAAAAGAGGAAAAAAAACTTGAGGATAGTTTTCTATCAAACAGACGCACGGACAGACAGACAAGCTGAAATCGATTCAGGTCGTCAGTCCTGTAATATTGGTATAAATTATGATGGATCTATCTCTACTCCTTCCTGTACTAACATACCTCGGAATAATGTTAAAAAAAGGCATAAAAAAAAGAAAAATCTTACAGAGAGTATAATTAAGTCTTAGTTAAGATTCACGTCTCATGAGTCACTCCTTTTTTATGAAGAAGAGAGAGGGTGGAAAGAAGTTTTCGTTGTAAGAAGTCTGCTTGGATTTACCATCTCTAAAGCTTTGTATTTGGTCTAATTTAACGAAAATTGAAAGTAAACAAGAACCAACCAACTTCAAGATATCAAATATGAACTTTTAACACTCAATTCTTCCGAAGCGTGTTCAAATCAAATCTTAATCTTAAGCTTATTTTCTAAGAGAATAACGGATAACGAGTCTTGCTGTTACTTTTTCTGAAGCATGTTCAGCTTAAATCTTCCAAAGCTTGTTTCCTAAGAGGATACCGGATAACGGGTTTTACCGTCACTTCTTCTGAAGCGTTTTCAGCTTAAATCTTCCAAAGCTCGTTCTCTGAGAAGCTAACGAGTATAACCGTCACTTCTTCCGAAGCGTGTTCAGATAAAATCTTCCAAAGATTATTTTCTAAGAGGCTAACGAGTCTTATTCCTCCCATCTAAACACAAGTAGTTAGGAATATATCCACTTGTTTGCTTCTACATCTTAATAAATTTCTTTTTTTTCGCTTCACGGGAAAGAGATCACTTAAATTGCCATCTACGGCAACACAAAAAACCTAATTTATCGTACAACAACAAGCAGAAAAAACGCACTTTTAATTTTGTGATAAAATTGAGTACAATTGTATTGTGTGTACCTGTGTGTGTGTGTATGTACGTCTAAATAACATGTATGTATTTCTGTCATGCATCTGCGGCTTGGACGTAGTTAATTTCATTTCAACCGTACGATGATCGTCTTATTATGTTGATTATTTCTTTACAAAGTATATACATATATACACACATATTTATGTATGTATGTGTGTTTGTAAGAAGGCACAATAGTATTTTCTTCAAGCTTTTTTGTTGTAGTAAAATTTTTTTATTATGTCAAATGTACCGAAAGTTCTATGCGTGCCGAGCCACGCGTACACATACATACAAGCGCAAAAATCGACGGATGTACTCATGTATGTAATGTACATACATACGTCTATATGTACTCATATATTTATTCATATTTTTTACAAACGTATTGCTGCAGTCCGAACGTTTCGGAGTCACTGTACGCACTCAATTAAATTCAATTGATATGGAATTGAAACTTTGTTTTTTTTTTTCGAAATAAAATGTTGAAGTTACTTTTGTAAGTAGCATGGGAAAGCGTAGTGGAGCGTAGAGGACTTCAGCGTGCTTTCGAAATAGCTAAACATGTCAAAAAAGAAAAAAAAAAAATCACGCAGACAGATGAACGTTCGTTCATCGTGTAGAGGCTTACTGTAGGAGGGGTTTTTATGGACAATCAAATCACCTATAAGAATCACGAAATTGTATTCATTAGTTGCACATTTCAAAATAAGTATATTATTATGCCGTTAAATAAAAAGTTAAAACTAAATTTGATTTGAATTTATTGTGTTGAAAGTGATAAAAGTGCTCAGCATTCACCTTTAATCACCTTGAAACAATTGTAGGTAGTTAAAAGTGGCAGGCACCTACCAGTTAACGGTACTTTCAAATTAAACCATTTTAACATTCATTTGGTTTTCGTGATTTTTTCTTCATTTCTTCCATTTAGCTTTCATTTCAAATGGTTTTGTACTTATTTTTATGATCAATCAAAAGCCAAAAATTTGACAGGCATTTCAAAATGTTCGTGAGCACCCAATTGTTGACGATTTATTGGGTGATGGAGGAGCTGCCAGTTTACCAAAATATTTTAGAATTCTTTTTTTTTTTGTAGCTGCAGCGTGATTTTAACTACCTTTTCTTTGGTTTATTGTAAATTTCATTTTGGCTTAAATTAAAACTTTGCTTGTGCCACTGAAATTCGATGTTCGTGGTCTATTTACATTCCTATTATAATTCCCACACATACACAGTTTGACATCCCTATTATAATTCCCACACATACACCGTTTGACAGCTCAAATGTAAAGTAAGATCACCAAATGAGATTTCTACTAACAAAAAGTAACCCATTCGAGTATTCCGAGGTCAATGTCATCATATTCTGATTAGAAGCATACCCAGCTACATGCTTCTGTGGCTCTCTGTATTTTGTTCATTTTTTATTTTAATTGCTATAACGAAGAATGATTGGGACCCCTAATTAAGCATCACCTACTTCAAAATATAAAGTTTTTATTATATTACAGATCAAACTGCTTCTTTGTATGTGTGGTCCACTTATACGTTGCTTCCGTAAAGAAAGTATTATTAATATTTACAGCAAATCGAACTTCGTTCCGGGTTTTTGATCTTCCTCTGTTTCCACCGGCGGGTACTGCATCGAAAACTTTTAGAGCTGGAGTATTCTGATCCATGCAGGCCACATGATCTATGCCAATGCGCAAAGGACCGCAAAACCATTCTCTCGAAAACTCCTAACGCCATCGCATCAGATGTTGTCATCGTCCATGCTTCCGCACCATATAGCAGGACGGGAACGATGAGGGACTTGTAGAGTTTGGTCTTCGTTCTTCGGGGGAGGACTTCACTTTTCAATTGCCTACTCAGTCCAAAGTACAATAGCACCTGTTGGCAAGAGTGATTCTGCGTGGGAGCCAAGTCGCGAAGGCGATGACTATTTGTTTGATGACCGGAGATATTTCGTCTTGTCCTCGTTCACTACCAGACACATTCGCTTCGCTTTTTTATCACGTCTGGAGAAAGCAGAACTAACGGCGCGGTTGTTGAGGCCGATAATGTCAATATCACCGGCGGTGTGGTGGTGTGTGTCGATCCTCTTTTCACGGGACTTTTTCAAGACTTGGCGCATGGTGAATATCTGGTCAATGGTGGATTTACCAGGTCTGAAGCCACACTGATAAGGTCCAATCAGTTTGTTGACGGTAATTCTTCTTTATGGATTGGGCAGAGCAAAATTAAATTCCAATAGTCGTGCATTCTTTCGTCCGAACATATTCTGCAAAGAAGCTGATGCATCCACCGTGCCAGCTCTTCACCACCATGTTTGAATAGCTCTGCCAGTGGGCTGTCAGCCGCAGCCGTGTTATTGTTCTTTAGGCGTGCAATAAATCCAACCACTTGCCGTAAAAAAAAGAAAAATTTGATATAAACCGAACCGTAAATAAGATTTTTTTAAATAGGTCAGTGCCTGGTTCAGCTCCCGAAAAGAACAGTAGTAAGCAAAATGCACCGGCTTTCAAGTAAATCGAACTATAAATAAGATTCCTTTCTTATAGGTCGGATTTGTCTCTTGCAAAAATGAATGATTGAAGGGTGTTTTATCAGGAAGAGTTGTATTCATCTCCACTGATAGCCAGCAGCAACAGTTCTCGGATCGAATAAGACAAATTGTAGTATCGTACTGGATTTTCAGCGAATTGAACTGGGTCCCTGGCCACATGAGAAGCTGCATGGATGATGAGAGGAGGGAAACTATCACCCATCTCTTATGCGACTTTCCTGCTTTAAACAGGGCTTGGTTTCGGAATTTTGGGACACTATTGGAGAGGAATGTCGATAAATATCGGCCGATGTGAAAGTCATGGATCTAATGGGTTTTATTAGGGAATCGCTATAGTCAAAAAATGAAGCTTAATGGTCAAAACTTTGTGTCATCACAATGGGTCCTGGTCAAGTCTAAGTGTAATCGATGCTATAGATCAGTGGCCGCCACAATCTAAGCTAACCTAACATAACCTCTTCTATACGATGAATAATAGACTCAATCACTATATTCCCCACTTTCTATCAAACCATTTGAGTTCTATTAAGATGCGTTGTAAGTCTTCAGTTTTTCCAGTTAGACTGTTTTACAATCGTCTTTTTTTTGTTGTGCTTATAAAATCCCTATAGGAATTTAGTTCCCATTATGTACATAACTAAGCCGTAGATAGTCATAATAATTGAAACCTATTCATACACGTCAAATAAGCCATCAGATAGTTGTACAACAGTTGCCTCAAACCCAAAATGCAAGAGATTTATGTACACATTTCTACATTTCTACTACACGAGTTGTTCAACAATGCACCAAATATGCTGCGGACATTTTCCAACAATTTCAACAAGTGACAGTGGAAAAATAAAAAAGAAATTGTGACATTTTTTCTTACACAAGCGCTTATACACGCAGCTGCCGCATAAGGCCCGAGTCCATAGATTCAACTAATCAAGCAGATCACTTGACAGGCCATTATTGTGGCAAGATCGTTTCATTTCGTTGTGCTTTCCCAACAGACAGTTGACTCGCTGGCTGGCTGCCTGACTAGATGGTAGCCTATCTGCCTGTTTTTGAGGGGTGGCTAAGGAGGTGGACGTTGTCTGTGTGGTTGGATCTTTTAGACATATAAATTGTTTAGCCATAAAAGGTAAAAATCATTTTGCTCTTAGCTTAGTTGATGATGTTGCTATTGCTCGAGATGTTTGCAACAATTGGCATGGTTTGTTGTAATTTATAGCTATTGTTGTTGATTTCTTTTAAGTATTTCTTTTGGCATTCACTTACCTGAAAGAAGAGTACGAAGCAGACCCACTGATAGTAGGTGTAATATTTCTTGGCATCCTCATCGTTAAAATCGTTGGCAACACCAGGATGCGCCACTTCACGGCCGACCTGTTTCGAGTGTAGAAAGAAATGTGTGTAATTTTTGGTTTACAAATTATTTAAAGACTATTGTGTATATATATATTTATATATATAATAATAATTTAATTAAATAATTTTTTTTAGTTATTTTACAAATATTGTTCTCGGTTTGAAAAATATTTTTCGGGTCATCAAAATTTAGTGTATTTTCGTGGCGTGTTTTGTGTAGCATAGCAATTAGTTCACCTCCACTGACATACCTAACCTATTTTAGGCTTTTGGCTTTCAATAAGACTGCAAGCAGTTACGCATGCGCGACGCATTTCAAAATAGGGCGCATGACGGTCTTTTAGGCTTATTTTTTTTCATATATTTATGTAGCTACTTTTTAGGGCGTGTGTAAAACTCAATTAAATTTAATACAAAAAATACTGAAAATAAATGAAAAATACAAAAAAAAATAGAAAACTTAATTAAAAAAATTAATAATAAAAACTAAAAATGCGAACGCTCACGGGCAGAGCGACATTCAAAATGCAGATATTTAAATGCTATATTTGCTATTAATCCTGGAATAACATAAAAAAAAGTTTTACTAATTAAAACATCCAAAAATAAAGTGAAAAATATACAAAGATTAAGAGAGGAGTAAATCAAATTAATAAAAAATGAAAACTAAAAAAATTTAAACTCTAAGGCAGTGCGTTCACAGGCAGAAAATATAAAATTAAATTAAGCATACATATTTTAAATAAAATTTTGAAACATATAAAATTAAAATAAAAATAAAAAATTTATTAAAAAAAATTTAAAAAAACAAAAAAGAAGACTGTCTCCATATCTTTTGTGGCCATACCAAAGTTATGGTACTCCATTTTAGGTTTAAATATTCAATTCAGTCCAATTCATTCATCAAGTCAATATTTTACAAAACTTACAGACTAGAAGTACAAATTAAAAAATAGAGCTAAAACGAGATCTCGGGGATCCGTAATCAAGATCAAGGCTTCTAGAGATTCTATCAAATTCAGAGAGTGCTCTAACAAAGGGATCGTAATTATGATAATTTGTTTTAGTTACATCCAAATAAAACGGATAATGAGAGCGCAAAGTTCTATGAGGAACATGAAAGCTGATTTGCTCAAGCAAGTCTGGACAGTTCACTAAGCCATTGATGATGTCATACATAAAAAAAAATTATTGAATAGATCGTCGAAGAGCAAGAGATTTCAGATTTATTAGCATACATCGAGAAGTATAAGAAGGTAGGGGATCAGAGAAATGAGGCGGAGCAAGAGCAAAGCGAATAAACCTACGTTGGACGGTTTCATGTCTAGAGGAATGCGTGGAATAAATTGGATTCCAAATTAAACTAGCATATTCCAGCTTTGAACGAACCAAAGAATTCTATAAAATTTTATGCTTCAAATCACCACCATACCGTCGTAAAAAAGCAGGGTCAGAATGAATTCTCGTATCTGAATAAGTAGGTTGTGTGGGGTCTATGTGAAAGTGAAGTGCTTCGACATGGATAATTATGTAGAATACCAAATTTCATGCTCTTAGATGCTTTTTTGATGGATCTATGATCCAAGGTTTCACATCTGAAAAATCGGTCATATATGTACAGTCTGGCCAAAAGTATTAGGCAACCCCACTAAAGTACAATTATTCTCAAATGCGGCTATCAAAGTAACCACTTCTTTTTGTAAATGTCTTACGAGGGTGTTTAACTGTTGATTAAACGAATAAATTGTGTAATATTAAAAGTCATGGTACTCTGGGCAAACTAAACCTAAAAATTAGTATTTTTAAGAAATTCATAAAATGTTTTCGCATTTAAAATTTGAAAGTATAAATTAAATTTAGCTAAAAGATACCAATCTTATAAAAAATAAGTTCATATTTACCGTAATGTCTAAAAAAAGTGAAATTGGATACGGTATTAGCGCAAGAGAGATTTCAAGTTCTAAGTGAAGAAGGTAAGTCTCAGGTTGAGATTGCCAATTTGGTGGGATGATCGAGGTGCGCGGTCCAATGTGCTATCAGGTGATTTGTGGGGACGAAATCCCACAAACCAGTAAGCAAGAAAGCCGAATACTTATATGCGAGTCCCTCAAGGACCGCAAAAAATCTTCTTCTGCCCTTGCAGCTGTCCTTTCGGATGAATTTAATAAACCAGTTAGTGCTCGAACAGCTAGAAGAAGACTTCCAGAAGCAGGTTTAAAAGGATGTAAAGCCCAAAAGAAGCCGTGGCGCTCAGAAAAGAATAAGAAAAATCGTTTGTAATGGGCTCGCCGATTCCAACATTTCACGGAAGAAGATTAGACGAATATTCTGTGGCCTGATGAACCAAACTTCGATGTAAGCTTAATGTATTAACAGCCATAGCTTTTACTTACCTACTTTGGACCAAAGTAAATATACCAATCAAGCACATGAGTGGTATAAAAATAAAAAATAAAACAATAAATGTGAAAAAAAACATCAAAGGAGTAAAATAATTAAAAGTAAAATCACAAACATTTTCGTACGAATGGGTACTTAAGAAATAAATAAAAAAAATGTAAATAAAAATCATTAAAGATAATGAAAGCAACAAGCACTTAATGCTGTCGTTTGCGTAAATTCAAGTGAATTTGAAGTCTTTACATGCTCGAGTATTTCATCTACAAGTGCTCACATTACTTTAAGGTCTTGGAAGCGCATGCGCAACGCCTCTGAAGTACAATACAGACAGATGGCAGTAAAGTATCTGATTTCCTATTCTGCGAAGCATTTACTAAACTTACCTACCACGAGCGCACACCGCCGCCTAAATTTCTTTACGCCCTGAGGGCTAAAAGTAAAAAATTTTTCACTTGCCTTTGAGACTTAAACAAAAAAAAAACAGCTTTTTTTGTAAAACGACTCGTTGCGCATGCGCAGTAGCAGCGCGCATTTATAACTCAAAAAATTCTCTTATACATAAAGATATTCATGTATGTGGATATGTATGTATGTCGTTCTTAAACAATCTATTTATTATGCTCTCTCTAAATTTTTTTAAACACCTCTGACGTTTATTAAAATGAATTTTAAATGTTTGTTTCTTATAAAAACAAAAGCCACAAGCCCAACAAGCCATTGATAGCGTCGGCAAATTCATAGGGGCATGCCTCTCTGGCTGTTTTAAATTCAACTCATTCACAATGCGAAGTTCATGCCATTTAATGTACATGTATATGTTGCGCATACATATATACAAAAATTAAGTGTATTTTTTATGCAAAATATGCACAGCGAAAGCGACAAGTTATTAATAATTCATAAATATCTTTGACTTTTACTAAGTTAATTAAAAAAATAAAAATAAAAATTAGAAATTAAATTTTCAATTAAGAAAAAGATACATACATACATACATGTATATCAGCTGTAAAAATTACGCGGAGTCAAGTGCTAGTTGTCATGCGTTGGAACATATCTCGTGTTTGGAGATAGAATGGTCTGACTGCCTATAAAACTAATGTTATGTATAAAATCAGCGAAAGAGGTTTACACAGTTCGCGATCTCGAAAGGACTGCTGGACATTATTTGCTTGTAAAATCGACATTAAAGATATATATATATATATCCATGCACGATACACGGAGAAGCAGGCATTAGTGTGGCATAGGAACTGCTATTGGGTGTTCAGAGTACAGAGAACTAGTAGAAGTTTCGCTAGATATCAGGAACTTTCTAAGCTTCGTATCAAGTGTAGACATGACAACTACCGCACCTTGTATTAGATTACACCACTATCTGGCATTAAACAGTTCTACGTTGTCAACCTACGCTAGTCAAAGTAAATATCGGTACAGATAGACTTCAAATGGCCAACTAAAAGTTTAAAATATAATATTACTAACCTGTCGTTAGATCTCAACAATCTCTACAATGCCGCTCTAATACGTCAAATGTGACACTCTAAGCATATTTTCCAGAAAAGGTGGCTCGGCCGTTGACCGATTACCCAGGTATAGAGAATACCGGGCGACAATGCGGCGAACAAGCTTGAGAGTGTAGGAACAATCTTAACTAATACGAACTCAGCACAAGAAAACAGCGTAACGAGGCACAGTTTATCTGCCCAGCTTTAGACGATAAGACTTCAAGAAACATACATCTTCTGGACTGAGTAGTAACAGGGCAATGCTTATTGGCATCTTATGGCCCTGCGTGTGGGTTTCTGTCATGAAATGAAGCTTCTCATACAAGACCATCAGCTAGGATTATTTCTTTTCATTTGTTGGAAAAACAACAATCCAATAGTTCCCGCGACAGTCGGGTCTTTATACTGGAACGACCCGGATTTTTCTCCGGTCAAGGACTGTCACTCCCACAACATTCCCCAAAAAGTACTTTGGGGGATATTTTTGCGGTACAACAACAACATCAGCAGTCAGGTAGTCAATAAGGCTTGTTAGGAACCATATGGGAAATATTACTATCTAAGAAAGTCTTTAAGAAATGTTTATTTTTTGAAGGGGAAAGACTGTCATAATTGCAAATATTGCACTATGACACATAATCATTTTTTTTGGAAAGTATTCTCTTAGAATTCTTAGACACTTATTTACACCTTTAATGAATATAGTCAAATTGTGATTTGGGGAAATTCGGGAGAATTATGATCCGTTATGTTGGTGTATCTAACCAAATCAAAAGTGTGGGAGCTCGATGATATGACCTTCAGATTTCTATGATTTTCTGCCTCAATATTTATTTTTATATGTTTGTGTGGAATACCATATCTCAAGATTCGAGATTCAAGATTTGAGATGCTTTTCGGACGGATTTTGTACTTAAATCTTCATGTCTAAACGAATTAGTTGTATGGGGGCTATATATTACAGTCGTCTGATATGGCTGGCCCACATACCTATAATGTACATATATAATTTTTATAGATCAGAGACCTAGAAAGGAGATTTTTACGGGGAAGGTATCACCGAGAGATTTACAAAAATAACTACATAAATAGGACTCTTTACTTCACATATTTATGTGAATAAGATTATATCCGAATGGTGCATTTGGCTTACTTGCGGAGTTTTCAATGTTTGATATTTTTGCGAAAGACTTTCAGCAGCAAGGAAATGACCATACAAATAAGAAGCTCGAACCGTAATATAGTAAAAAAATTACTATCTTGGCAAGGTTGATTTAAGGATTATTCAGGAATTTTATTGTTCTTTGCAATGGCAATTAAAAAAAATTGGACAAACCATAGAAAGCCACAGCAACCTGCGGCCGGGACTGCTAGTATTATATAAAAATTCAACTGCTTACGGAGTTTGGCTGAAATATCTCAAAAACTGAGGAGACGGAGGAAAATGACTAAATCTACTCAGCTCGTTATTCTGATCCGATCGGTGTAAATTTTTGTGGGTCCAACTTTTCTTACTTCTGGTGCTGTCATGACTCGAACCAAAGGTAATGTACCAATTCATCTTCATGAACGGTATAATTATATTGACAGTAATCGGTATTGATTTTCGTTAGAAAATTATTTATTCGACATCAAAATTCAGTAACATGAAAATAGAAAATGTTTGCCTGTTTCGATTGGTTTAAATTGTTTTTGTTTAAGATATCAAAGACATTTTACCACGAAAAATGTAAAAATTTCATTTCTACGTGTCAAATGAACCGGTTACTTTTATTTTCGGACAAGTGTGACATAGTTTTCACTGATGTGCTAGGCTCACCAACATTTTTAGTGTATTATTCTTGACTCGTAAACCTGTTTAGATTATTAATTTTTATATTATTTTTTCACACTAAAAAAGAGCTAAGCTCGTATAAACATAAAACTATAAAAACCTCAAAAGCTAATTTTTTTTAGAGTTGAGCTTCTAGGTGACGGTAACCTAATAACGCCGCGTTGTGGTGAGCTTCACGTATTTACATGTGCTTTGCACGCGTATGTATTTATGTAAGCCTACACAATATATTTACATAAAATGAAATATACTTGAGTAGATAAGAATTTATGTATTTCGTATATAATAATCATGTAGTATTTAAGTATATACATATATACTAATTATGCATATGTAAGTAGTCTCACTCACCTGTCGCTTGAATGCGTCGGGCATCGTAAACGTGCTATGAATCCAACAGAACGTATTCACCACGTGAGTCGGTATGCCACTCACAATACAACTGATCGGTTGACCTACAAATTGTGTGGCCGTAATGATCAGACTGCAGGTGAGCAACAACACTGTCGTGAATGAGTTATGCAAGCGAAAGATGGCATTGTCTGTCTGAATGGGCTGCCATTTCAGATAGGATTTTAAACCAATTAATAACTTATACATTTTATTGCATTAATTGTTGTTGTTGTTCGTGGTGGTTGTGGTGGTGTTGGTATGACCAAGGTGACGTAATGATGTGTAGAAAAATTTAATTTTATCAAATTTTTTTTTTTTTTACAAAAGTGTATTTGTATATCCTTGAAATATTTCCTCTTGTTAACTCTCAGGTAGCTCCAAAAGAGAGAAATAAAAAAAAAACGCTGTGAGTCACTAAAATGTTTTCCTAGTTCAAATTTCCCTAGGTCAATCGTTGTTGTTGTTATTCGAGTTATATAGGAAGTGAATCACTATTAAATTGGAATTGTTTGCTGGTAGAGGACGTTGAAACATCAAACGCTGTTGCAAGTTCATATCAGCTGTAAATAAAGAAAAAAATGTTGAAAAATACATTTATTGAATAATTTAGAATTGTTATTTCTAATCAATGAAAAATTCTTAGTAATACTAATCAAATGCAATGTGATTCAGTTTTAATGCGAATAAAATAAATATGCATTTTGCATTGAGTTCTTAAATCTTTTAAAACTATGTTTACATCATACTTAGAAGGCTTCGAATGAAACATAAACACTTATTGATAAAATAAAGCCCAGATATATGGTGTAGTAAAAAGTTCGTTCGGTTTTAATCTAAGAGATGGCGTTATTCTCCATAGTACTAGTGTGACAGTTTTTCGATTGATTGACTCAGTACGTTATGAGCGCTCCTCGTAGAAGATGGACACCAGCAAAGAGAAAATTCGCTATTTTTACAATTTTTCTTCGGTCACGGCGAAAAAGCAGTCAAAGCGGCTTAAAAAATACTGAAAAAATACCGATACTGTAAACAAACGTGTAGCACAAAAGTGGTTTGCTAGGTTCCGTTCCGGTAATTTCGATGTCAAAGATGCACCACGCGTCGGGCGGCCTGTCGTCGAAAATTGCGATAAAATTGTGGAAATAGTGGAAACAGACCGTCAGGTGAGCACTTATTCAATTGCCAAGGAACTAAAGATAATCCAGAAAACCGTTTGCATAACCTTTGATTCAAAAAAACATGATGAACCGAATTTTAATCGCAGCAGAATCGCAACAAAATCGATCCGTTTCGGATTGTGACTGGCATGAAAAATGTTTCACTAACGACGACATCGAGCGCAAACGGTCGTGTTCAAAGCTCGGGGACGGGGGCCCAGACGGTGGCCAAGACTGGATTGACGGATTGCTGTTTGTTTGGTGGGATTGGCAAGGAATCATCTACTAAGAGCTGCTTCCCTATGGCCAAATGCTAAATTCGGTCCTCTACTGCCAAGAACTGGACCGCTTGAAGGCAGTACTCATCCAGAAGAGGCCATCTTTGATCAACAGAGACCGAATTGTGTTTCACCTGGACAACGCCAGGCCACACGCGTATTTGGTGACGCACCAGAAGCTCCAGAAGCTCGGATGGGAGGTTCTAATACACCTACTTTATAGTCAGGACTTGACACCAAGTGATTACCATCTTTTCCTGTCCATGGCGAACGCGCTTAATGGTGAGAAGTTGGCCGCCAGAGAGGCCACAAGAGAGGATTGGCTCTCTGAATTTTTTTGCCAATAGGGACGCAGCCTTCTACGAGAGGGGTATAATGAAGTTGGCATCTCGTTGGCAACAAGTTTACAAACAAAACGGCGCGAATTCGACTTAAATCCGACAAATGTACACAAGGTTATCATATTTTGAAAAATCATTAAAAAACCGAACGGAATTTTTTCTTTATGTAATATTTTTTCTTTACATAATATATATATATATATATATATATATATTGGCGCTTTGTAATCGCTGAAGCGGTTTTTCGGCCGAGCTCCTTCTCCAATTTAATCGGCCACTAATTTGAGCTCCGAGTTCCAAAAGACCGTTGCCACAAGTTTCTCAATTGAAAGTGACACCTTAAACTCCTTGCGAGGTGCTGTGGCCTTTTTAAGTCGCGACTTAGGTTCATAACGAGGAACTCAAGTTTTATTTCTTGTAAAAATTCGACTCAATACACCATCCCTCTCTTCATTACAGCGGTTCAATGTTACACGTGAACACTCTAGGGGCTGTCGGCTTTTGCATAACGGTGAGCAATCTCGGCGCTTATCTTGTGCTGTTCTTATTTATGACAAGATGATCGTGTGGGATTTTAAAATTGTAAGACAATTTTTTCAACTTGTCGTATTTCTAAATGCTTTTGTTTAAGCATAAAATATTAAATTACTCTGAAATGGTCTATCATTTTCCCTGTCACGGCTCATTCTATTACTGTTGTTTACGACATTCGCCTTGAAAGCTATATAACGAATGAAAGTTACAGCTGTTTGTGGTTGTGGTATCTATAATCGATTATATTTAATACAGCTACGGTTGTGACTAGGCTGATAGTTGAGGTTTTACGGCATTGCACCTGTAATTTAACCTTAAGATGGAACAATATCTGATGCGTCTGCTTTTCATGTAAATATTAGCTTGATAAAATTTTTAAATTCAGTAAAAAATCATTGTTTGTTAAACCAAAATTAGATATGAAAAATATAATAAAAAATCTAAGTTTTAAACTGAATCCCTTCCCCAACTAATTCTCTTTAAGGGGCATACCTAGTGTAATGGCCTAAAAAAAGGTGACTTTTGGGAATTTTTTATTAAAAATAATACTTTATCAATTATTTCAAAATTTTAAGAATATATTCATACATGTTTCGAAAACATGCAGTGAAATTTTTGAAGAAAAAAAATTAAATATTTTTTAAGTTATAGTCGATCTCCAACGGCGCGAAAAAAAGGTCCTTCACTGCTGCAGTGATTCCGGCCTGCTCCGTGGATGAAATCTAAAAAAAAATTCTCTACTAGATAATATTTTCTGTATAATGACCTACGATAAAAAAAAATCAAAAATTGATAATATGGTGGTGTTTTAAAAAAATAGTCGAATTTTACCCAAAATTTTGTTCGCTTTTGGCCTGCCAAAATTCGATTTTTTGATCAGATCAAAAATCGATAGGTCATTGTACGGAGAGCTATATATAGTACATTTAAAAAAAATCCGATAGTGATCGGATCATTTGTTTTTGAGTAATAACTGCAGCGAATTCGGTAAATGCGGTTTCGAGAAAAACGCATTTAAAGATAAAAATGATCGTTTTCACTCGTAGCTAATGAGACTCTCTAGCTGCGGAGCGGCTGCTTTTTAAATTGCTATAACTCAAAAACCATTTGAGATATCGATTTGAAATTTTAAAATGTTATTTTTGAAGGTGTAATTTACCGAAATATGAAAAAATATGGAAATTTCACACAGGGTGTGCCCCTTAAAGACGTCATGCATTGCCTTGAACCTAAACTTTTAGGATAGTAAACTTATTGTATACATAGGTATATACATATATACTCAAAAGTGCATATGTTTTGTTTATCATTCAAGTAAAAATATTTGGTATTCTTATCTAGTTGAGTTATTTGACAAGTAAAAAGAAAAACTCGGGAAATTACATATAAAGACATATTTGAGTAATGAATATCAATGGGTAGGCACTCAACTGTTAGTAATATAAATCCCAATTTTTTAGTTACAAATAAATAAAAAAAGTTTTAGTGACGTAAAAAGTTTGTACTTTGTGTACAAAGCCAATTTTTGGCGTAAGGAAGTACAGTGACTGCTATTGTTATAGCTCTGACGACATGCATACATACATACTCAAATATTAATATATTTTTCTTTAGAACTTTTACTTTTACATATTGTTTTTGTATTAAACTTGGTTAAAAGATTTGAAAGTGATATTTGCCGCATAAAAAATGAATAGATGTAAAATTCGTTTGGCATTTCCGATCAAAATACAGATGTTTACCTCTATGATTGCAATTAAAATACAGTTACTCACAAAAATGAGTATACACAGGTTTTCATAAGAGAACTACACAAACTATTCAAAATTTATTGGATATATTTGAATTTTTTTGATGCACATTTGAAGCTTGAACTAAAAGTTCGACTATATTTGAAGCTAAATTAATTAATTTATTCAGCATAAAGAAAAAACTAAAATGAAAAACTAAAGATATTGATAAGTTCAGGTCACAAAATTGAGTATACACTTCATGGAAAATAAAAAATTTAATTCACTTAATTTTTATTTTTATTTAATAGGTTGTGAGTCCACCAACTGCATCTATTACAGCTTGCATCCCACAAGGCATCGAGTCTACTAGTTTTTTTTTTTATATTAGGTGATATTTCGCCCCATATTCTGATAATCTCCTTTTAAGCGGGGACTAGATTTTTCCAGCTTGGATTTCAATTCTCCCCATAAATGTTCTATGGGGTTCATATCGGGGGATTATGGAGGAGTCTTAAGCTGTTTTGGAGCGTTAAAAAGTAATCATTCTTTCACTTTCAATGCTGTACGTTTTGGGTCGTTGTCTTGCTGGAACCAGAACACTGACGGAAGCTTTATTTTTTCCGTGCTTCCGTGCAAGTGAATCTCTATGGTCATGTTGCTTTCAATAAATTGAATCGTGCCGTTAGCTCCCATAGACCCCCAAAAGCATAACTGAACCATCACAATTTTCACTGTCTCATCTAAATTTTTATTTCGTAGCTCCGTGTTAATCTTTATCAAAGTCTGACTTCGATTGGATTAGTTTGCAATGGAAGTTAGGATTTCAAATATATTTTTTTTACGTCGCGCGGGACTTGAGAATGATGCTTCACAAACGTATGTGGAACCAAACATGCAGAAAAACTTTGGTACAATGTCTTTGAGTGCCGAGATATTACATTCAGATAACAAACGCCTCCAACATGCATCGCTCCGTTCATTTAGCAAGTCACTTTGTTCATTTATCAACGAAATATCGAATGCCTAACAAGTTTATCCTTGTTCCAAAAAGATTTGACACTTTTTGAATATTATTTGGGTCACAAACGAATGGGTTTTTGAGAAATTTGAATGCCAACTGACACTTCTGGAAAAATTCATAGCGCAAATTCTTCATTATATTGCTTTGTGTCTAACACTGGGAAGAAAGCAAAATCATTTTCGTAGATTTGGTTTTTAAATGCGACCAATTTCAACTTGCCTCACATTCAACTCGTTTAGATGTTTCGTAATATCGGCCAAAAAGTACATTTTCTCTTTCCAAAAATGTGTCGATATTTCACTGAATTCTACATCCAAGTGTTGTTCCATGAGAAATAATCCGATTTCATCAAACAGATCACAAAACCGAAGACATTTCCACAGCTTACCAAATTTAAAATTTAATTTTACTTTCAACAATTTGAATCGACGATGACGTAGTTCCCCAGCTAACTACTGTTTGTCTTATTATTGTCAAGATGAAATCGTTTCGGTTA